TGTTAAAGGACCTCTGCACTTTGCTGGGGTGTCCCTGGGGGTCTCAGGGGCTTTAGGGGGGTCTCAGTGTGTTAAAGGACCCCTGTACCTTGCTGGGGTGTCCCTGAGGGCTCCTGGCCCATCTCAGAGCACTGAGGAATTGCTGGTGGTGTCCCTGACTCTGGGGGGGTCCCTGACTCTGGGGGGGCACACAGGGGTGACGCCCCTGCCCCTACCGGAGCCGATGAAGAAGCAGGTCTTGTGCATGCGGCCGATGAAGAGCTCGAGGCCGATGATGGCGTAGATGATGATGACGAAGAGCACGAGCAGCGCGATGTGCAGCAGCGGCACCATCGCCTTCATGATGGAGTTGAGGACGATGTGCAGGCCTGGGGGGTGCACAGGGGGTGGGGGGGTGTTGGCACAAGGCCGGTGGGACCCCCAAACCCCTCTTTTTCCCCCCAGAGCCTCACTGGGGACGCCGGAGACGAGGCGCAGGGGCCGCAGGACGCGGAAGGCGCGCAGGGCCTTGACGTCGAAGCCCCCCGGCTTCCCGCTCATGTGGTGGGCTTCGCCCGGCTTGTGGGACACCTGCTCCAGGATCACGCTGAACAGCCTGGGGGGGCACAGGGGGGTCAGGCGGGGGCTGCACCCCCTGGGGGTGCCCCCAGGCCCGCCCGCTCACCCCACGATGACGATGACGAAGTCGAGCAGGTTCCAGCCGTTGCGGATGTAGGCGCTGGGGTGCAGCACCAGCCCGTAGGCGATGATCTTCAGGAACGTCTCCACCGTGAAGATGATGAGGAACACGTACTCCACCTGCTCCTGCAGGGGGGACAGGGGGCTTGGGGGGAGCCATAACACCCCCCTACCACACAGGGGGACCCATAACCTGCCCCAACCCCACAGGAGGTCCCATAACCATCCCCCTCCACAAGGGGTCCCATAACCACCTCCTACCCCACAGGGTGTCCCATAACCACCCCCTATCCCATGGGGGGTCCCATAACCTGCACCCACCCCACAGGGGATACCATAACCACCCCCTACCCCACAGGGGATCCCATAACCACCCCTAACTCCCAGAGGATCCCATAACCACCTCCTGCCCCACAGGGGGTCCCATAACCATCCCCACTCCACACCCACAGGGGATCCTATAAGCCTCCCATACACCACACGGGGTCCCATAAACACTCCCAAGCTGCAGGGGATCAGGGAGGGGGTCCAGCACCCCCTTCTCCAGGGCTAAAGGGCATGTATAGGGTCACCACTCACCCTGGTGCCCCACCACCCCTCCCAATGTCCCCTCACTTGGAGTAGGGACATTTGGGGACCCTCACTGACCCCTCACCCTTCCCAGTGTCCCCCTCACTTGGAGTAGGGACATTTGGGGACCCTCACTGACCCCTCACCCCTCCCAGTGTCCCCTTCACTTGGAGTAGGGACATTTGGGGACCCTCACTGACCCCTCACCCCTCCCAGTGTCCTCTTCTCTGGGGACACTCAGGGACCCTCTGTCCCAACATTCCCCAACAACTCATTCTCCTGGGGACAGGGATATTTGGGGACTCCCCTGAGCCCCCCTCCTGGGGACATTTGGGGTGACCAGGGACATTTGGAGACCTTCCCGAGCCCCCCCTCTCCCAGTGTCCCCTCCGTGGGTGTCTGGGGAGGCTCAGCCTGGATTAGGCCCCCCTGGCCCCGCCCAGTGCCGGCTAAAGCAGCTTAAGGAAGCAGCACACACGGGGGGGGGACACACACGTGTGACACGGGGACCCTGCTGTCCCCACAGCCCCCCGGCACCCCCAGCCCCCAGAACATCCCCCACAGCCTCCCCTGCCTGCCTGGGGGTATTCCGAGGTTGGGCTGAACCCCGCCCATTCAGGTTATCCCCCAGCACCCAACTGGGCCCGGCTCAGGCGCTGGGGGGTGGGGGTGCCCCCGTGTTTTGGGGGAGCCGGGGGCCTCACCAGGTTGTGGTTGGCAGCGTTGGAGTCGTCCTCGGGGAAGGGGATGTAGACCCCCAGGGCCACGCAGTTGGCGAAGATGGTGGCGAGGATGAGGATGTCGAAGGGCCTGGGGGAATTGGGGCGGGGGGCAGCGGGTGAGGGGGGTCCCCAACGCCCCCCCCAGTCCCTCCCCTGGCCCCCCACTCACTTCCACTCCACGATGCTGATGGCGGCCCTGCGGATGGGGTTGTTGAGGCGGAGGCAGAAGAGGGCGCGGGGGGAGCGATGGACCCCCCCGGAGCCCCCCTGGGCCCCCTTGTGCTTGGGGTGGGGGGGGCGGCGCTGCCGCTGCCCCGGGGGGTCCCCCGCCCGCAGCCCCCCCGGCGCCATCGCTGCTCCCCCAGCCCAGGGGCTGCCCCATGGCCTCGGCAAAGGGGGGCAGCTCCTTGGGGGGGCCTGGGGGGGGAAAGAGTGGTCAAGGGAGGGGAAAAGGACCCCCAAAAACATTTCTGGATACCCCCAAATCCTCTTGGACCCACCCAGATCCTCATGGACCCCTCCAAATCTCCCTGGACACCTCCAAATCTTCCTGGATTCCCCCAAATCCTTCTGGACACCCCTCAAATCTTCCTGAACCCCCCCTAATCTTCCTGGACCCCCTCTAAATCTTCCTGGATACCCCCAAATCTTCCTGGACCCCCCTCAAATCTTTCTGGATACCCCAAATCCTCTTGGACCCCCCCACAAATCCTCACAGACCCTTCCAAATCTTCCTGGATACCCCAAATCCTCCTGGACCCCCCCAAATCCTCACAGACCCTTTCAAATCTTCCTGGATACCCCCAAATCCTCTTGGACCCCCCCCCGCCTCCCAAATCCTCACGGACCCTTTCAAATCTTCCTGGATACCCCCAAATCCTCCTGTACCTCCCCAAACTCTCCTACCCCCCCCTCCCCAATTTTCTGGACCCCCACAAACCCTCCTGGACCTCCCCTTCACAAACCCTTCTGGTCCTGGGATCCTCCACCCACACGGTGACCACCCCTGAACCCCCATCCCATAGAGCAGGGGACCTCCCCCAAATCTTTCTGGACCCCTCAGAGACCCCCCCAGACCGTCCTGGACACTCCCAAATCTTCCTGGACCCCCTCTCGCCCCCTCACCCCCCAGGACCCCTGTCTTGAACACCTACTTCTTCCAAAGGACCCCCATACCCCCCGGGCCCCAGAACCCCCCAGACTCACCCTCTCCGTTCTCCTCCGACTCCGACATGGTGGGGGCGTTTTTAGGAGTGGGGGCACCTGGAGGGAGTCTGGGGGTATTTTAGGGTTGTCCTGAGGGGCTCTCAAGGGGATTGGGGGGCTCTGTTGGAGTTTGGGAGCATCGAGGGGATGGACTGGGGGGATTTGGGAGTGTCAGGAGTGTTCAGGGGAGGATCAGGGGTGTTGAGTGGGGCTTGGGGTCTGTTGGGTGCCGGGGTCGCTCCAGGGCCTCCCCACAGCTTGTCCCGGCTGCGGCTGCTGGGGATTAACTGGGATTAACTGGGACGGGTGAGGGGGGCAGCGCTGCCCACGTGTGTCCGGGAACGGTGTGGGAGGGTCGGGGGGTGTGTGAGGGTCAGGCAGTGCTTGAGGGGTCGGTGGGGAGGTGAATGTGAGGGGTCAGGGGGTGTGTGAGGGGTCCAGGGGGTATTTGAGGGGTCAGGTGGTGTTTGAGGGGTTGGGGGTGAAGGGGTCAGGGGTATGTGAGGGGTCAGGGGTGTGTGTGGGGTAAGGGGGTGTGTGAGTGGTCAGGGGAGTGTGATGGGTCAGGGGTGTGTGTGAGGGGTTAGAGGGGTGTGTGAGGGGTCAAGGGGGTATAAGGGGGTCAGGGGGTGTTTGAGGGGTCAGAGGAGTGTGTGAGGGGGCAGGGGGTGCGTGAGGGGTCAGGGGGTGTGTGAGGGGTCAAGGGGTATATGAGGGGTCAGAGGGTGTGTGGGGTCAGGGTGGTGTGAGGGGACAGAGGGGTGTGAGGGGTTGTGGGGAATGAGGGGTCAGGGGGTGTTTGAGGGGTCAGAGGGTGTGTGTGAGGGGTTGGGGGGTTGTGAATAGTTGGGGGTGCTTGAGGGTTCAGGGGGTGTGTGAGGGGTCTGAGGCGTCAGGGGGTGTGTGTAGGATTGGGGTCACACATTCTGCAACCTCCCACTTCATTCCTTTCTCAGTTGTCCCCAAACAGGCCCCATTTGCCCTCCCAGATGCCGTTTCCCCCCCTCAGACCCCACAGGCACCATTTTCATGGAGTCACAGAACTGTTGAGGTCAGAAAGGACCCCTAAACCCATCGAGTGCAACCATCAGCCCCACACTGCCCGATGCCCTCCGAACCCTGTCCCCACGTGCCACGGCCACACGTTTGTCCCCTCAGCTGCCGCTCACGGGGGTCATTTCCCCCTCACCACCACTGACAGGTTTCTGCCCTTCATCACCCTCACAGACTCCCTTTTCTCCTCATCCCCTCACAGCTGTCATTTTTCCCCCCATTTCCCCTCACAGACTCATTTCCATCTCCATTTGCCTTCACAAGCTCCATTTCCCCTCATGGGCCCCTTCTGCCCTCATGGGCTCCATTTCTCCCCTCATCAACCCTCACAGACTCCGTTTCCTCCCCATTCCCTTCACAGGCTCCATCTCCCCCTTCATGGCCCCTCAAGGGCTCCACTTCCCCTCACAGGCTCCATTTCCACCCCCATTTCCCCTCACAAGTTTCCTTTCTCCTCGTGGACCCCTTTTCTCCTCACAGGCTCCATTTCTCCCCTCATTAACCCTCACAAGCTCCATTTCCCCTCACAGGCTCCATTTCCCCTCACGACCCCCATTCCCTCCTCCCCCGACCTCCGGCCATTTTCCCGCCCATTTTCGCGCCTCGCGCCCCCCTCAGTTTTCCCGCCACTCGCCGCAGCCTACAACTCCCGTCATGCCCCGCGCCGCGGCGTTTCGCGCCTACAACTCCCAACACGCCCCGCTGCCCCTCCATTACCGCCTACAACTCCCGTCATGCCCCGCGCATGGAGGCACAAGCCCCACCCTCTTTCCCCTCACGTGACCGGCGGTCGCGCGCGGGGCGCGGACCCCCCAAAATCCCCTCCTGCAGAATTTGGGGACCCCCCGACCCCCTTCACCCCCAGCCATGGAGGAGGTGGACAAGATCCTGATCCACTCCCTGCGACAGGCGGGGACGTGAGTGGGGGGTTGGGGACACACGAACCGGGGGGTCTGGGGGGCTCGGGTGTTGAATCTGGGCGGGGGGACCCGGGGGTCTGGGGGCGGCACTGGGAGGTCTGGGGGCGGCACTGGGGGGAGTTCTGGGGGTTGTGAAAGAGGAGGGGACGCCCCGATGGAGGTTTGAGGGGTCTCCGGGAATCCCCGTAAGGATTTGGGGGTGGGGGTAGAACTGCAGGTTTGGGGGTCCCTGGAGGAGGGGGCTGGGGAGGTCACTGGGCGGGCCCTGAGGACACTGGGGGAGTTTTGAGGGGGTCTCTGTGGGGCAGCGGCTGTTTTGAGGAGTCTGGGGAGACTGAGAGTGGGGGGGACCCCGGGATTGGGAGGTCACCCTGAGGGGTTGGGAGCGCCTGGAGGTTTGGGGAGCCCCGGAGTAGTGTCAGGATTTGGGGGTGCTTCCAGGGAGAGTCCCCATGACTGTGCCCCCCAGGGGGGAGGTGTCAAGATTTGGGGGGGTGGGTCAGCATTTGGGGAGGGGGGGGTGTTCAGTATTTCTGGGGGGTCCCCACGGCCGTGCCCCCCCCCGGAGGGGTGTCAGTGTTTTTGGGGGGGTGCCCACGGCCGTGCCCCCCCAGGGCGGTGCCCCCCGAGGTTCAGAGCGTGCGGGACCTGACCCCCGAGCTCGTGGTGGACGCGGCCGTTCGGTGCCTCCGGGCGGTGCGTCCGGACCTGGGGGGGCCCCTGAGCCCCCTCCTGCCCCCCGGCATCTCCGCCCGCTTCCGCCTCGCCTCCGACCTGGCGGCCGCCTGCCAGGTACCCCCGGGACCCCCAAAACCCCAGAACCCCCAGGACCCCAGAACTCTGAGGACCCCAAGGACCCCAAAACCCCAGGGGACCCCAGAACTCTGAGGGACCCCCTCCAGGGACCCCTAAAACCCCAGAGGAGCCCTCAGAACCCCAAGGGACCCCCCCAAAACCCCAGAGGAGCCCTCAGAACCCCAAGGGACCCCAGAAATCCCAGGGACCCCCCAGAACCCTCCTCCTTCCTTTTCTCATTCTCTTTTTCCTTTTTCTCCCCCGTTTTTCCCCTTCTTTTTACTCCTTTCCCTTTTTCCCCCATTTCTCTTCTTTTTCTTTTTTCCCCTTTTTTTTTCCTCCTTTTTCCTTTTTCTTCCCTTTCCCTTCTTTTCCCTCTTCCCCCCCTGTCCCCTTTTTTTCCTTCCCTTTTCCCCGTTTTCCCCTTTTTTTTCCTCCTTTTTCTTCTCTTTCCCTTCTTTTCCCATTTCTCCCCCTTTTCCCCTTTTTTTCCTCCCCTTTTCCCCTCATTTCCTCTCTTCTCTTCCCCTTCTTTCCCCTCTAAGGAACTGCGTTGTGGGGGGGGGGGATTTGTGTGGCCCCAAACTCCTCCTAAACCCCCAAAGAGGGGGGTACCCCAAACATCTCGAGGTGCTCCCCAACCTCCCCCCCCTCCAGGAGCTGGGGTTCGGGGGGGACGTGGGGTACCAGACCTTCCTGTACAGCTCCGAGCACGACACGCGGCGCCTGCTCCTGTTCCTGGTGGAGAAGCTGCCGCGGGACGAGGGCGAGCGCGGGGCCGAGCCCCCCGGTGAGCGGCTGGGGGGGTCCCCGGGGGGCTGGGGGAGGGTTTGAGGGGTCTGACCCCCCCTCCTTGTCCCTCTGCCCCCCCAGGGAAATCGGGGGCTCTGCTCCGAGCCATCGGCGCCCGGATCCGCGAGCAGCTGGGGACCCCCTGGGTGCCCCCCCAGTGTCGGACCCCCCGTTTGCAGCGGCTGCAGGTGGGTTTGGGGGTGGGGTCCTGAGCCCCCTGAATGGGGGGTGGGCAATTAACCCGTTAATTAACCCATTAATTAACCCTTCCCAGGGCACCGCTCGCCTCCACCCCTTCACGACCTGTCCCTTGGTGCTGCCCCAGAGCGGGGGGGCCCCTGGTAAGAACTGGGGGATCTGGGGGACTCTGAGGGGTCCTTATTGTCCCCAAGTGGGGGACCCCCTGGTAAGAACAAGGGGGGATTTGGGGGTTCTGAGAGGGTCCTTTTTTGTCTTGATTTGGGGATCCCCAAGTAAGAACTGGGGGGGATTTGGGGGACTCTGAGGGGTCCTTGTTGCCCCCAAGTGGGTGATCCTCAGGTAAGAGCTGGGAGGGGATTTGGGGGGTCTAGGAAGGTCCTTTTTTGTCACAAATTGGGGACCCCCTGGTAAGAGCTGGGAAGGGATCTGGGGGACTCTGCAGGGTCCTTATTGCCCCCAAGATGGGGGACCCCCAGGTAAGAACTGGGGGGGATTTGGGGTGTTGGGGGGCTCCATTTTTGTCACAAATTGAGGACCCCCAGCTAAGAACTGGGGGGGGATTTGGGGGTCTGAGAGGGTCCTTTTTGTCACAAATTGGGGATCCCCAAGTAAGAACTGAGGGGGATTTGGGGGAGTCTGGGGGTCCTTGTTGCCCCCAAGATGGGGGGACCCTCAGGTAAGAGCTGGGTGGGCATTCCCAAAGTGTGGGATCCTCAGATAAGAGGTTTGGGAGGGGGTCCTCGTTTTGGGGGGGTTCCTCTGCTCACCCCCCGCTGTGCCCTCAGAGCTGCAGGAGTATTTTGGGGGGGTGGCCCCCCCGGTGCCAGCGCAGCCCCCCCAGCCCTGCAGGACCCCCCCAGCCCTGCTGGAGACCCACCAGGCCCAGCTCAGCGCCCGCCACGACTGGGAGGCCGAGTGGGGGGGCCCCGGCCTGGCCTCCCGCCTGCCCCCCCAGGTGAGACCCCCGGGGGTCCCCAGGCCTTGGGGGGCTCTGGGGGTGTCCCCCCCCCCTTCTCTCAGTCCCAGGAGTTTGAGGGAGGGGACCCCCTTTCTCACCTTCTGGAGAATGGGTGGGGGTGGGGAGGGGCTTTTTTGGGATCCCTGTGTGTCTAAACCCCCACCCCCCATTTTGGGACTTTTGGGGGTCCCTGTGTCCTGACCCCCTTGTGGGTGGTCGGGGTGTGTTTTAGAGTGTGTTTGGGGTCCTGTTGTCTGACCCTTTGTGGGTGTTTTGGGGTCCCTGTGTGTCTGCCCCCCTTTGTGGGTGGTTTGGGGTGTGATTTGGGGTGTATTTTGGAGTCCCTGTGTGTCTGCCCCCTTTGTGGGTGGTTTGGGGTGTGTTTTGGGGTGTTTTGGCGTCCCTGTGTGTCTGACCCCTTTGTGGATGGTTTGGGGTGTGATTTGGGGTGTGTTCTGGGGTGTTTTGGGGTCCCTGTGTGTCTGCCCCCTTTGTGGGTGGTTTGGGGTGTGTTTTGGGGTCCCTGTGTGTCTGCCCCCCTTTGTGGGTGGTTTGCGGTGTGTTTTGGGGTCCCTCTGTGTCTGACCCCCTTTGTGGGGAATTTGGGGTGTGTTTTGGGGTCCCTCTGTGTCTGCCCCCCTTTGTGGGTGGTTTGGGGTGTGTTTTGGGGTCCCTCTGTGTCTGCCCCCCTTTGTGGGTGGTTTGGGGTGTGTTTTGGGGTCCCTGTGTGCCTGACCCCCCCCTTGTGGGTGGTCTGGGGTGTTTTGGGGTGTGTTTTGGGGTCCCTGTGTGTCTGCCCCCTTTGTGGGTGGTTTGGGGTGTGTTTTGGGGTGTTTTGGGGTCCCTGTGTGCCTGACCCCTCTCTCCCCAGGAGTACGTGGGGCGGAAGCGGCTCCGTGCTCGGCTCCGGGCTCTGGAGCCCCTCCGGCAGCTCTGCCCCCCCGCCCCAGGGCCCCCAGGGCCCCCTGGACCCCGCCTGGCTCCAGGAGGCCTTTGGGGCCGGGGGGCCGGGGGCCCTGCCCAAGGAGTCGCGATTCACCCGCACCCAGCACCTCACCCACCAGCAGGTGGGGGGATGGGGGAGGGTTTGGGGGGCTGGAGGAGTTGATTTTGGGGGCTGGGGAGTTGTTTTGGGGGCCATGGAGGCGGTTGGTTCTGGGGGCTGGAGGTTGTTTTAGGGGACCTGGGGGTCGTTTGAGGGGGCTGGAAGTTGATTTGGGTAGGGCTGGAGGTTGGATTTGGGAGGCTGAGAGTTGGTTTGGGGGCTGGGGAGTTGTTCTGGGGGTTGGAGGTTGGTTTGGGGGGTTTGGGGTTGTTTGGGGGAGCTGAAGGTTGGATTTAGGGGAGGCTGAGAGTTGCTTTTTGGGGCTGGGGGGTTGTTCTGGGATGCTGGAGGTTGCTTTGAGGGGGCACGGGGTTGGTTTGGGGGCCTGGGGTTGTGTTTTTGAGGGGCTGGAGGTTGTTTTGGGGGGCCTAGGAGGGGCTGGGGGTTGTCCTGGCCCCCCGAGGCTCCTGAGGCTGCTCTGGGGTCTCCTCCCCCAGGACCCCCAGACCCTCCTGCAGCAGATCCAGGCGGGGCCGAGTCCCTGCAGCACCCCCGGGCCCCGAGGAGGTGAGGAGGGTCGGTCCCTGTGCCCTCACTGATGCTCTGGGCGGTTCTGTGCCCCCTGCCCCCCCCTGGCCCACATTTACCCCCTGTTTGCCCCCCCAGGCCTCAGGGGTCCCCCCCCCCAGCGAAGAGGCCGCCCTGGAGGCCGCCCTGGCCCGGCTGGAGGCCGAGATCGAGGGGACCCGCGGGCAGCTCCGGGCGGCCCAGCTCAGCCTCACACAGGTGGGGGGGTGTTTTGGGGGGATTTGGGTTTTTTTTGGGGTGCCCTGACAGCCCCCCATGCCCAGGCAGAGGCCAAGGTGCAGCAGGGCCAGGGGGGGCTTTAGGGGTGTTTTTTGGGGTGCCCTGACGCCCTGTCCAGGCAGAGGCCAAGGTGCAGCAGGGCCAGGGGGCTCTGGGGGGTGTTTTTGGGGGGTTTTGAGGTGCCCTGACCCCTGTGCAGGCAGAGGCTGACAGGTGCAGCAGGGCCAGGGGCTCTGGGAGGTGTTTTGGGGGTTTTGGGTGCCCTGACCCCTGTGCAGGCAGAGGCTGAGATGCAGCAGTGCTGGGGGGCTCTGGGGGGTGTTTTTGGGGTTTTTTGGGGTGCCCTGACCCCCTGTGCAGGCAGAGGCCAAGGTGCAGCAGGGTTGGGGGGCTCTGGGGGATGTTTTTTGGGGTTTTTGAGGTGCCCTGACCCCCTGTGCAGGCAGAGGCCGAGGTGCAGCAGGGCCGGGGGGCTCTGGGGGGCCGTGAGGACGAGCTGAGGGTCAAGGCCAGGGCTGTGGAGCTGCTCCCGGACGCCCAGAACAACATGGCCAAGCTGCAGGTGAGGGGGGGGAATTGGGGGGCCTGGGGGCAGTTTGGGGTCACAGTGGGTGAGAAGTGAGGGGGCCTGGGGGGCAGTTTGGGGTCACAGTGGGTGAGGGAGGGGAATTGGGGGCTGGGGACAGTTTGGGGTCACAGTGGGTGAGGGGGAGTGGGGGGCCTGGGGGGCAGTTTGGGGTCACAGTGGGTGAGGGAGTTGGGGGCCTGGGGGACAGTTTGAGGGTCACAGTGGGTGTGGGAGAGGGTTTTGGGGGGCTTGTTTGGGATATGGGAATGACCCTGGTGGTGGGGGGCAGGTCAAGGTGGGGGAGGTTTGAGGGTGGCAGCAGTTTGGGGGACTGGGAGGGAGTTGGGGGCTTCGGGGAGAGAGCAGTTTGGGGGTCCATTCTGGGGAGTTTGGGGGTCCATTTTGGGGTCCCA